GAACAGAAAAGCAAAGAACTCGACCGCGAATATTTTGAACCGAATTCGATCTCTCGGCTCCGATTCCTCGGGTTGTGGTGTTTGTGAAGAATCCGATAACGACCACGATGACGATGACGATGACAATGATTTGTTTTCTTCGCTGAACGAATCGCAGGTTAAGGCGATTCGGCCGTGTCTGAAGACGACAAGTTGTGACCACAGATCTGTTGAACTCATATGGGGTCCTCCTGGGACAGGCAAAACGAAGACAGTTGGCGTGTTGCTGTTGGAATTGTTGAGTAATAAATGTCGGACACTGGCCTGTGCCCCGACGAATACTGCCGTTATGCAGATGGCGTCACGATTTCTTGTTTTGGTTAGAGAAATGCACCAGAAATCTGAAGGGATCTTCTGTTCTTTGGGGGATGTTCTTTTGTTTGGGAATGAGAAGAAGCTCAAAAGTTGGGTTTGATGATAAGTATATGTTTTTGGATTATAGAGTTAAGCGCCTAAAAAAGTGTTTCAGTCCCTTCACTGGTTGGAGGCATTGTTTTGTATCCATGATTGATTTTCTTGAAGATTGTGTTTCTCATTATCGTCGCGATGTTGACGACATGTCGTTTCTTGAATTTGTGAGGAAGCAGTTTAGAGCGCTCTCGTCGTCGTCGAGAGACTGCGTGTCGATTCTCTGCACGCATGTTCCGAAAAGTATTTTGAAGCATAATTTTCAGAGGCTGGATTGCCTCATGAGTTTGATTGATTCTTTGCAGAGTTTGTTGTTTCGAAACGGCGTCGTTTTGGACGAGCTTGAGGAGGTGGTTTCGGATCGATGTCCTTCTCGATTGTTTTCGAAATTTGAGCAACTTTTGAAGGCTAGAAATGATTGCGTTGTAGTGTTGAAGTCTCTCCAGCAATCCTTGGATGAACTTCGCCTTCCACACACGACAAACAAAGCCACGATTGCAAACTTTTGTTTTCGGAATGCTTCTTTGTTCTTCTGTACTGTTTCGAGTTCGTTTAAACTGTATTCGAAGTCGTTGGCGCCACTGAAGGCCGTGGTGATCGACGAAGCAGCACAGTTGAAAGAGTGTGAATCTGTCATTCCAATGCAACTTCCAGATATAAAGCATGTAATTCTCATAGGTGATGAGTGCCAATTGCCTGCCATGGTTGAAAGCAAAGTGAGAAAATTTCTTCCATTATATATATATTCTATTCTATGATGCACCCATGATAGGACACTTAGTTAAGTACAATAGATACATGTCAAACATTAATAGAACAAATGTAGCACTTGTTAAACACGTATCTATCAATCACTTTACTAGATATAAGAAACACGTGTTTTTGAAGTACTAAAATGAACCTTTTAGAAGTGAAATACATATTCACTTTAAATTTGTTTAATTATTTAGAAAATTGCTTAATTGGTGTATCTGAAATATTTCGAGGTTAGACATTGTGTCATAAATTACTACATGATCATATTATAAACCAAAAATGAATATTGATCATTAGAATCGTCGAAGAATATATAAAACTAATTTTAAAATAAGATGTATATTATAATTAAATGTATCATCATGTCCTAATTTAAAAATTCACTTGTCATCATGTCTATGTCTCATGTTTACGTAGCTGCCTAGAATTTAATATTCTATGAATATATTTGTTGGCAACTAAATATAGTAGAGTCTCACAATTGTCTTGTCTTGTAAAAAATATTACAAATATTAAATTGGTACAAACAAGCTAGACACTCTTATATCATAAGAGAGAGAAAACTTAGGCTTTTATCGAGCAAATGGTTTGAATTTTAAATAATTCCTCTGTGTTTCCCTTTGTTTTTTTAAGGCTGCAGGTAATGCTGGCTTTGGAAGAAGCTTATTTGAGAGGCTGAGTTTATTGGGGCATCCAAAACATCTTCTGAATATGCAGTACAGAATGCATCCATCCATAAGCCTTTTCCCAAACTCAAAATTCTACTCAAACCAGATCTCAGATGGCCCTAACGTCAAAGCCAAAGACTACACGAAGTCGTTTCTTCCCGGACCGATGTTCGGTTCCTATTCTTTCATAGATATTAACCACGGAAGAGAAGAGAAGAGAAGGATGGCATGGGACACAGTTGGAGAAACATGGCAGAGGTTCATATTGTCCTCAAAATTCTTCATACTTTGTCCAAAGGTGTAATCATTTTTTTTTCTCTGTATTTTTCATTCTTCTTGTCGTTTTATCGATAATTTTTCTCGAGAAAATTTTTGACGCATTCTTGTTTCGTTTTGGTATGTTTTCAGCATGTGTTCGCTCAAAGGAGAAGATCAGCATCGGTGTGGTCTCACCTTATTCAGCTCAAGTGGCTGCAATTCAACATAAAGTTGGGAGGAAGTATAATAACTGTGGTGGCTTTACAGTCAAAGTGAGCTCAGTTGATGGGTTCCAAGGTGGGGAGGAAGATATCATTATCATTTCAACCGTTAGATCGAATAGTGGATCGTCGATCGGGTTTTTATCGAGTAATCAAAGAGCAAAATGTTGCCCTCACGAGAGCAAGGTAACAACTTTATACCATTTCTTTTAGGTTTAAAATGATCCAAACTTGGTGTGGGTCTAGGGTGACTTTTGAAAAGGTGACCGTCTTCAAAATTTTCATATTGTTTTGGTTACATAGGTATGATTTTGAAGATTTTGAAGATTTTGAAAATATTAAGGGCTATTTGATAATGTTCTCATTCCTTTTGTTGTTTCTTGTTTATAATTTTATTAAAAAATCTAAGCATTTTGAAATTAATTATGTTTTTTTTCTTATTTTTTATAAAACGTGATCAAAATTATATTCAAATTTTGGAAACAGAACAATATTTCTTGTTTATGTTTCTAATTTATTACAAAACATAAAATATAAGTATATTGTTTGATCCAACATGAAATTTATGAGTGTTGAAGTCTGTAATTATATTTTTATTTATTAAAAATGAGGAAACATAAACAAAGGAAAGTGAGAATATTAACGAACGGACCCTCTAAAAGAACACACTAAAGTTAATTAGTATATATATTTTTTTATTCACTTAAATATTTCTTTTAAATGTCATTTAAACTCATCCTGACTGGGGTTTGACTAGTAAAAATTAAATATTGTTTTTAGGATAGTAGGCTTCGATATTGACTCAACCAATCAGGCAGAGCAAAAAGGAATAAAAAATTTTATAAAAGAGTTAAAGATTTCAATGTTTGTTCCCTCTAATTTTCCTTTTTCTAAATTTATGAAATTTAGAAAGGTTTTGCTTGCTGAAAAGTTTTGTAGCCATCTAGTTTACGATTACTAAGTACCCTCATTTAAGTGGCATAAATACTGTCTGTGGATACTGGGGAACTTCAACGCACTCTCAAAGAGTAATTCAGTTTAGGAAGAGTTGGTTATTGATGCCAAAAACCGCGGTTGTTTCTTTCGTGCTGATGCCATATTAGAACACGTAAAATGTTCTGCTCCGTCGTCTGGCCCAGACAGCGAGTCGATATTGGGGAACTTCAACACACTCTCAAAGAGTAATTCAGTTTGGTAAGAGTTGGTTATTGATGCCAAAAACCGGTTGTTCTTTCGTGCCGATGCCATATCAGAACACGTAAAATGTTCTGCTCCATCGTCTGGCCCGGACAGCGAGTCGAATGTCGATATTGACGGTGGAGAATGCTTCGATCAGGCAATTGTTGTAGATGGAGACGACAAGAAAGGAGGAGGAGGTAAAGGAAGAAGCTGGAAGATTATAGAGGCAATGAAAGTAGAAGAAGCTCACTCAGACACCTCTTACTCTTTTTTTGAAGCATACTAGTTTCAAGATTATGATGTTCATTAAAAAGCTAATGGGGTTTTAGTTTAAACCCTCATTTGTCATTTGGATTATTATTGGTTTAGTTTTGGTTGTTAGTTTAAGTTGTTTAATTACTTTAGCAATTGGGCTACTACAAATTATCTATTTATAGACATGTAATCTTGGTTTTTTCTAGTATTTTGTCATCTTGCTAGGTAATGAACTTAGTAGCTTCATGCCTACTTTTTATTATTTAGTTGGTTCTATTTTGATCTTGAATTTTAGTATTTTGATTTCTGAAGATTAAAAAATATTATTTTGATTTTTGGATATTAGAAATGTTTATTTCTATGTTAAAACTTATAAAACTTAACCATTTTAGTTTCGGCCGTAATGTTATTTAATGTTTGTCTCGATGAATTTGTGTGGCTCAAATACATCTTCATGTCCCCATGTTAACATATTTGTAGTCGTGCATTATTTGTCAATAAAATTTTTGACGATAAACTAATAACAAGAAATAAAATTATTAATTTTCAAAGTCTAAAATTCAGGATGAGACAAATAAATAACCTAAAATAAATAGGTATTTCGCACTAACTCCATGGCTTTGTAAGCAAGTGTTATGATGCTACAGCTAGGGTGGGAGTAGCGCCATGTGACCCCATAACTATAAGTGGGCCGGTGTCATGGGCTTTGTATTGGATTACAAATAATCAACAAAATACAATCAAGCAATGGTGAACTTTAATTTAATTGATGGGATTAGTACATTCATAGACTATTTAGAGACTATAATTACATAAAATAATGAAATGTATAAAATTTACAACAATCCTATTTAAGATGGTATTCATCCCCAAATTTACTAATATATCATTTTGTATCTACACCTCAATATTAATTAATTTTTAAAATTCAAAATTGGTTACTTTAAAGGTTACATTTTAAATCCCTTAAATTTTGCCTAATTAGACTTTCCAAAAGTAAAAAATACCAAATCCCCAAAATCCTCCATTATTGAAAAAATTTGAAAACCTCTTTCCTCCAACTTTTCTTCTTCCTCTGTCATTTTGTTTCCGTCCATTCCTTCGTCTCCAGCCGCCGTCTCCGTTCTTCTATGTCGCCGGAACAATCTGTCTAGCTTCTCTTTCGTCTCCGGCCGCCCGTCCATTGTTTCCGTCCGGTTATCCTGAGGTTTCTTTTTTGTCGCCGGTTGCTCATCGACCATTCGAGCCCTCCGTTTATCTTGACCATTGTCTAGTCGCCGGCCAAAAGGTTCGTAGGTTATTTGCTTTGTTTGTTAATTGTAGAAGAATATAGTCGTATATACTTTATAGCCAAATATAGGTTATATCTCCATATAAGTGTATGTTGTAATGGCTATAGTTTATATCACCATTGTTAAGTGTATGTTGATTAAGTTTATAGCCGGATATAGTTTATATTTCCATATAATGATGCTTTGTGGGCGTATAAAACTACTTATAAAACTCCGTTAGGCATGTTCCCATATCGCATTGTTTTTGGTAAAGCATGTCATCTTTCGTTAGAATTAGAACATAGAGCATATTGGGCTACGCGGAAACTAAATTTTGATTATGTGACTGCAGGTGAAGCGAGATTGCTCCAGTTACGTGAGTTGGATGAATTTCATCAGTTTTCTTATGAGAATGCCAAGATGTACAAAGAACAAACTAAGAAGTGACATGATAAAAAGATAATGGACAAGAATTTAGAACCTGGAAACTTAGTTTTGCTTTTTAACTCTAGATTAAAGTTGTTTCCAGGTAAGCTTAAGTCTAGATGGTCGGGCCCATTCGTAGTTGAATATGTTTATCCACATGGAGCGGTGGATTTAATGGGTTCCAAAGGTAATATCTTTAAGGTAAATGGGTATCGGGTCAAGAAATATTATGGTGAGTATATTGACAGAGGTAAAACCTCTATAATACTGAAAAACCCATGAGAAAATAGTGGAAACAGTCCACAGTTTGGGGGCGTTTTTATGTAAAATATTTTTTGTCTTCTTTTTGCGAAATTTTTACATTTTCTTTAAGGCTTTTTTGTGTAGATGCCAAATCTAATTTTTGTTTTTGCATTTGAATTTTGCAAGATCAAGATCCGACCCTCATCAACATTGCGCCAGGCGCAATTTAAGAGATCATATTTTCTTCTTTGATCCTAGGGAACAAAGAAGAAAATATGAGGAAACTATAAGAATGAACCCTAGGAGAAATCTATCCGTAGGTGGTACAAATTCTGAAAAAATTAATATGGAATCTAAGGATGCTAGGGTTAATAAAGAGGGTCATAGTGAGAAGAAATTAGGAGGAGTTAATAGAGTCTATCTTCGAAAAATCAAACTTTAGAGGAAAAAGGTGCTGTTTTAGATGAAGAAATAGTTAGACTTCAAGAGAGAGCGGAGATGTTCAGTAAAAATAACGAAATTAGAGATAGAGAGAATGAGAGAGTTTATACGAAAATTGAGGAATTAAACATAAAATGGCAAGAATTCATGGAAAACTAAAAGAAAGTGAGTGAAGAGATTCAACTTGAGTTAAATAGCATGAGTATACGTCGTAGGATGAATTTTTCTCAAGATACCCCATTTCCGAGTCTTTAGAACTGTCTATCCCTCCCCCTCTTTCCACTACTGTTGATGTGCATGTTGAAGGTCAAGAACAGGTTAGTGGGGATTCAGAACACGACACGGAGCCCTTGGAGGACTCAGATTCGGCCACGGTCGAAATTCAAGGCCAAATTGCGCCTGGCGCAATTATGGATGAGACTCCACCGGCCACTCTATAAGGTATTTTGTCTCCATCTTTTCCAGATCCTATCTTGACTAAAAAGCCCATAGTTTTTGATGATTTAGAACAGGAAAGGACAACGCCGAAAATTGACGAAATTTTGGTGGCGTTGAACGAAGCAAGGGGAGAGGATCCATTGGAGGATGATGGAAATAATGGAGCAGCACAAGGACAATTGAATGTTGATGGAGAGGATGAAGATCTTGGAGAATTACCCTAAGAAGTGCATGAAGATGAGTTTGAGGACGAAGAAGAAAATGACGATATCTCTCAATATGAAGTGAGAGTACGAACTCCGGTGCACGAATCTCAGCAAGATGATGAGGAGCTTCCTACACAAGAGCAAGAAGGAACATCTGGTCCTGTGGATGTCCCTAGTGAGGCCATGGAGGAATCATCTTCCTCTTCTTCACAACGTAAGACCCCTTTTTTGTCGAGTTTGAATATTTCTGACCCAAACTTTGTTGCTATTGTAGAGACTTCAGATGAGCAGGGGAGCTTGACCAAAGTAGTGAAGAAAACACAAAAGAAGAAGAAAGTGGCAGAAATTGCGCCTGGTGCAATTTCTAGGCCCAGGACCCGAGCCGCTGTAGCATGTTTGGCTATCCAAAAGAAGCCGAGACTGGTCCATCTAAAAAAGCCAAGAGGGCTAGGGTGCAAAGAGAGGCAGAAAAACCATTTGAGGAGGCCAACGAAGAGGAGCCCGATACTACCGAACAAACACCATTAAGAGTAAAAAGGGTGAGATTGGAGGTGAGGAGGTCCACCTTCACAACACGTGATATCCTCCTTAAGAGAGGTTTTGATGAGGCCCAAGAGCTGGTGCTGGAATATGTTAGGAGAAGGCTTGTGGATAATGGTTGAGAGTCGTTGTTTGCCCCAACTACGCGTGTATCCGAGGTCTTGGTGAAAGAGTTTTACACTACCATTAACCCAAACCGAGGGGATGTAATGAGAGTACAGGGTAAAGTGGTAAAATTCTCACCTTCCATTATTAATACTCACTATGGTTTGTTTGATGTTTTTAATGTCATAGGTAATGAGATTTTAGTGCATCCTTCGGACGAGCAAGTGGAGGAGGCGCATAGACTTATTTATAGACCACACAAGATATGGACCGTCTCAACCACGGGGAAGCTTTCTTTAAAGCCCCTTGACATTAATGAGCAAGCGACAGTTTGGATGTATGTGGTGAAGAACCGGTTGATACCCACTTCTCACGATTCCTCCATTAAGCGCAATAGGGCGATGATGATGTACATCCTCATGAAGGGCATTGAGTTCAACTTTGGGGAGCTCATAAGAAACGAGAAACGAAGTTGCTCCGAGAAAATGGTAGGTCATCTTGTTGTTCCTGGACTAATAACTGAGTTATGCTTGCAGGCGGAAGTGGAGGCCGATAATGCCAATGTTGTGATGCGCAAGAAGCCGTTCACATCCTTAAGGAGAGTTCGGGGGTATTCCATTATTCGAGAGGAAGATTCTCCCATTACTGCAGCGGATCCCGAAACCCGAGGAGTGGTAACTAGGGAGCAATATGATGAGCTTAAGCACAAGTACGAGCTTCTTTTGGTTACTCAATGTGCCACTTGTGCTTTCCTCAAGAAAATATACGGTGATGAAGCACCTTCATTCCCTGATGAGCTTGCGGCCGACTTACCATCTTCTTTCCGTTTTCATACCGATTCCACCGACGATGAGTCTTCCGATGATGAATAGGGGAGTATCTCCCTCTTTTTGTTTGATATATGGATATTGATTTTGTATGTTAGGTTGTTTAGTTTAGGTTGTTTAGATTAGTTTGCATATTAGGTTGTGTAGGTTGTTGTTTTTTCTTTTAGTTTGCATGTTACGTTGTTTAGTTTTAGTTTTAGGTTAGGTGTTGGGATGTTGTGCTGTTAGGAATGCATATAAGTTGTGTTTTTGCATATGTTAAAGTTCAAGCTTGCATGTTTCCTTGTTTTAGCTACTAGCTTGTCTTTAGCTTCTTCAATGCATCTTTTCTAAACTCTCAACATGTTCATCTTTTTAATGAAATGCTTTCATTTGTTCTTTGTTTTTGTATCATGTCGATGAGGATTCTTAAGGGGATGAATAGGTTATATTTCCTAGTTTTATGATCAAGCCATAAGTCATTTTCCATTCTTTTTGTTTTGGTTATAAAACTATGTTCTGCTTCTTTTTGTTTTGAAACCTTAACTTTTTCATTGCTTTGGAAGTCTTTGTCTTTTTTTGTGTCAAAATTTTGCATCTCTCAAAATTTCTTTCCCCAGTGAGGACACCACTTCCCGTAAGTTTGTGTCTTTTTGTTTTAAGAAAGAAAATGCATTTTATGTTTTGGAAAAAGAGTCAAGAAAGAAAATGTAAGCAATAAAAGAGTCTTATGCAAAAAGAGTCATATGCAAGAAAATTTTTTCGGAAGAAAGAGTATGAAAAATAGTCCAAAAGAAGAAAAGCAAGTCAAAAAAGTGTCGTGAGTGAAAATAAGAGTGGGGGAAAGAAAAATAAAAGTGAGAGTAAGAAAAGAGTGGTAAGAAACATGAGAGGAAAGACATTCATTTTCTTTAAATGGGTGGCGTTAGCATCTTGGAGGGTGGTAGCCTACATATTAAGGTGACTTCGTGAAAACATTGTCGGCATCATTTTATGTCGAGTTGCTACCTAACAAGCTTCTATGAGTGGCTGTAATTTGAAACCGATGTTAGTGTGTTGAAAACCTCAGGGGCTAGTAGCCGGGTCCACTTGATGTTAAAATTTTTGAATCAAAACGGAAGTGTGCATATTCCATGGTTTTGTAAAAGAGTTTTATGTTTTAGGAAAGAAGAAGATTTAGAATAGTTTTTATTTTCAAAACAAAGGATGGTTTATGGTTTGCTGGCTTGCGAGTAAAGTTAGGATGTTTAGCTTGTGGAGCATTTCTTGAGACTTATATAATTCATTTACTTAGAACATTTGGATTGTTGATCATTCATATTTCTAGCATGTTGATTGTTTTAGATTTGTTGTTGTTGTTTTTGTTTGAGGACAAGCAAATGGCTAAGTTTGGGGGTGTGTTAGGGTTGAATTTTTACTGCAGAAACATGTGTTGGTAGCCTTGTCTGACCACGTTTTTGACCCATTTCCCATTATTATTTGCCAAAAAGGACCACATATTCTTAAAATAGAACATGCATAGATTATTTCTGTATAAAAGTCAAACTATGGTACTCTATGAGAAATATGAGATAAATGCGGTCAAAGTTGGAAGAAAATAACAGAATTCTGTTTTTGCAGAATTGCGCCTGATGCATTTTTGGAGGGCAAATTGTCAAAACGCACGTTTTGATTAATGAAGGGCAAGGAGGACATTTCCCACATGTTCAAAACCGTGAGTCCAAGTTCAAGTGAGGTGGTTAGGTGAATCTCAATCCTTTTCCACCTAAAATGGAGGGGAGTTTCAACCAACCTATGGTGCTATAAAAGGAAGTCATCAATCCCTAAGCAAATCATCTTTTCCAAGCTTCATTTCATCTTCTTTTAGATGTTCTCTAGTTGTAGAACATGTTTTTAGGGTTTATGTTCATGTTCTAGTTATTCATTTCTTCGTTTTTCACGCTTTTACCTTTCGTATTGCCTTTAATTCAAGTTCTTACTTCCGTTCTTTGTTCATTCTGTTATTTTAAAGTTCTTTAGCGAGTTTCAACTCCTCTCACGCTCGAGAGAGAAGAAAGTCAAGCTAGAACTCCTTGTACGGCTTATTTATTCATTTAAATACTTTCTTTATGTTTTCGTGCATTTAATTTCATTTAATTATGTTCTAAATTAGTTATCAACCTCTTTGTGGAATGCCTTAGTCAAAATGATTTGATTTTCAACACGCTCGGGATGTTGGTCAGATTGTGCCTGACACTTTTTTGGGTTGGTTTTTAAAAACTTCTCTTTACGTCTTTTTTCCATTTGGCCAGTGGGAACTTGATTTATACACCAAAGCCCAACTTTAGGAAAGGTGAGTTAGGTAAAATAACAGGAAACCAATATGGGATGTGCCTTAGGAATAAGCGCATAAAACATGGTCCTAGGCATAGGCCCTCTGACCCATAATGCAAATGAGTTGGTAGATATTCTCTAGGATTGTAATTACACATAGGAATATGATTGTAGGTTACCCTAGCCTCTGCAACAACCAAAAGCGGTAGTGAAAGAGTAGAACTCAAATCCCAAGAAAAGTCAGGAATTGCACCTGGTGCATTTTCCCAACATAGTGTGTTTTCCATGTTTTGCATCAAAACTAAGGTAGGAGAGAAGGAGGTTGAGTTTCATTAAATTGCTTGTTAGTTAAAACCCCAAACGACAACATTTCATCACATTTTTCTTCCTAAATCACAATTGCATATTTGAACCATTTCACTGCATTACTTGATTTTGAAAAGCAACAAGTCTCTGAGGATTCGACCTTGGATTACTTCCGAGTATTACTTGTGACCGTGTGCTCTTGCACGAGTCTTTAATTTTTTTAAAGGTATAGAGAGTCCCAACATGAACACTTGACAAACTAATTGAAAATTTCTCCAAATTTCTATACTTGTTTAAAAGTTAATAGTTCGAGGCTAATAGTTCGAGGCTAAGTGGCAGTCTTTGTCTAATGTTGAAAGAAAGTATTGATGTCACCTTCATTCCTTCTCATTCCACCATATTGATTGCAACATCTTATGGGATGGTTAATCATGGTAGTTCACTGGTTTTTTTATGACCAACCAATCAATTGCAACATCTTATGGGATGGTTAATCATGGTAGTTCACTGGTTTTTTTATGACCAACCAATCAATTTACATGGGAGTTCCTTTGCCGCATTCACAACATGGAAGATTCACCTTGGCTAGTTGGGGTGATTTTAATGTTGCCTTATGGAGTCATGAAGCATCTAGAAATATCTTATATGATGCCTCTTATACATAGAACTTCTATCTCCTTCTTCACCTATGCGCTCTTCAAGACGGGATTTCGGGGGGGGGGGGTGGTGCAATAACATATTTGTCTCAACCCAACTATGGAAACGTTTTCATCGTTTCCTTTGCAACGACTATTTTTCAACTTTGTTTCTATGTATTGCTGTCTCTCACCTGAATTGGTCGAAATCTGACCATCGAGCAACAATGCTTTTCCTTCTTCCTTTTCCATATTCAAGGAGCAGAGGAGTAAACAAACCATTTTAGTTTGAAGAATTATGGTCCAGAAACAC